TGTGTGTGTGTGTGTGTGTGTGTGTGCATGTGTACTCAATCTATAGAATGAATTTCACTCGCTATAATCTTGGTGTGAATTTCTTAAGTCACCAGATCTTCTACTTCTTGTTTTTTCCTCCTCTCATTGATCTGTAAGTGTCCAAGTTTGACCACAGAGTGGTTGTCTATTCAGTGATACAATGGCTGATAAAGTGGGGCATATTTCCCTACACTCTGCTGTCCTAGGGCCTCAAGGCCATTAAGAGAAACAACACTTGACACTTAACACAGCTTTTATATGTGCTAAACACTATTAATTCATTAAATATAACAAACCCGTGAGGTAGATATCATTTTCTTTTTTTTACTGCTAAAGCAAATTGAGACACACAGATGTGAGCCACTTACCCAAAGCTGTCCAGTTAGTTGGTGACAGAGTCAGAATTTCAACTCAGGGAGTATGGCTCAAGGGTCTCTGCTCTTAATCACTCAAAAGAGGAAGTTTTGAAATAACCAACTATTTAGACAGAAAGGCATGTAAGACCTACACAGATAATCTGGTGGTGAGAGTAGGAGACTAAAGATGGAGGGTAGAGGCTGAGAGAGAGAGCGCAAGGATTTGTAACGTAAGGCCTTTCCCAAATGGAAGCCTCAATCTCTGGCAGCAATTTCTGTCTGAGAGGATGGCAGGCATACAATGGCATCTGGAATACAAATAATCATCTCTGTGTAAATATCTGGTAGGAGAGGGATTAGAGGTAGCACTTAGCTAAAGGTGAAAAGCATAAGGGAGCTATGTGTTTACATAAACTGGGTCTTGATATTTTCTTTGCCTATTGTTCCTGAATGTTTGTTTCTTCTAATGATTGTTTCTTTTCTGGTGAGTTTATTCAGAACAGAAAGCTCAAGCTTTGCCTGGAATTTTAGATCCCCAAGGCTAGAACAGACCTTTTGTGGCCATCTAATCTTAACTTTGCCCATCTCTCTACCCTTAACATACATACACACATTCTTACAAACAGAAGAGGGTAAATAATCATTAGAAATAGCAAGTGAGGTACCTGGTGTACAGAGAGGCATTGGTGGCAGCCTGTTAAAAGTGATTAACAAAAGGAAGCAGGAGTCATTAAGGAAATACAATGATATTAAGTACTGAGTGATTCTTTTGTTGGAGCTGATTAATGTTTCTCCAACACTCTAGATTGAGTAAATGTTTAGATGATATGTCTGACCTCTTGGTCCCATGTTTTTAATTCATTAGTTCCAAGTCTTGGAAAGAGGCTTCTCAAATATCCACCTCAATAAAAGAGCAGGATTAGTCACAAGTAGCCAAGAGTTTGAAGGCAGCTGGTCTAAGTTGGGACACTTCTCATAATAGGGAACTCATGTCTCCTGAAAGCAACTGTGTTCTATCAGCCTGTACTCCACGCACTCCTGCTTTAAAGCCTTATACAAGAACAACCAGAGGCTCCTTAACTAGAAATCTACTTCTCCCCCCCCACACACACACACACAAGACATCCCCAACCTTTTAAACAGAGAAGCTGACATGTTACCCAACCTTACCTGATCAGAGCTGGGGACTCTCCTATGTTCTCCATGTCAAAAATGTAATACGCCTTTGTCCCCAGTGTCATAGGACTAGTTTATTCTTTCTTAATGAAAACTATATTCTTAAACGTCAGATTTCACTATTTCCCTTTCAGCTTTATCGATGATAGAAGCCATGGGAAGGGACCTAAGAAACCAAACTTCTCATTTCGTAGATGAGGAGAGGAGTGCCAAGGAAAAGAAGACATTATCCTAATATCAACTTGGTGATAAGAGTTTCTCCTGGTTCTCATTCCAGGACTCTTTCTGCCCTACCTTTCTTAATTTTCATGTGGCACTGAAAGTGACATTGTGTAGCTATAAACAATGCTCCAGGAAGGAGCAGAGGCCACCCCAGACATTTTCCCAGCCCCATTGTCTAAATCTGCCCTCAGTAGAAGAAAAGATCATGAGATCTTACTCATTTCCATGTACTCTGGAGTCAGACCAGTGTATGGTTCCAGGCTGTAGTCTAGGTCCCACTGCTCTGGGTGCTTTGAATGGGCAGAGTCAGTTTCTCCAGGTTCCGTCTCATCTTTCAGCTTCCGAAATAGTTTCTTTAGCTTCCTGAAAAAGAAACGGACCAGTCATCAAGAGCCTCTGGAGGTTACAGTTCTGCAGACAGAAAGGAGAAACAAACTAAATTTTGATATGAAGTCATCTCTGATCCAAGGACAGATAAGGAGACACTATGGAGACTACTTTTCACTTAAAGACAACCTGAGGAGGTCCTTTGTCATGTTGAAAGGCTCCCCCCATGAAGGATCAGGTTTTTTCTGCAAACCCAAAGAAACTGAACTCTTCTTGCTTTTTGATAATCAATAACAGACAGTGCTATTGTCTAATAGGTGATCTATCCACCCTCTTCATGGGGAAGAGAGAGTGTCCAGAAAGGTGCTCTCCTTCAAACTTAAACATTTTCGGGTCTTAATAACATAAACAGCATCATCTTTCCATTAAAGCCAAGCTAAACATTGTCTACCACTCCTATGGGATGAGATGAACACCTCTCTCCCCACCCTCTCCCCGCCCCAATTCTTATGTTAAACCTCTAACACCCAATGTGACTATATTTGGAGAGAGAGCTTTCAGAAAGTAATTCAGATTCAATGAGATCATAAAGGTAGTGTCCTAATCCAGTAAGATTGGTAGCTTTATGAGAAAAGGAAGTGACAGTGATCTCTTTCTCTCTCTTCACCATGTGAGCTCACAGTGAGGAGGTGGTCATCTGCAAGCCAGGAAGAAAGCCCTCACTAGAAACCAAACTCTGCCAGTACTTAAACTTTCCAGCCTCTAGAACTTTGAAAAAATAAAATTCTGTTGTTTAAGCCACCCAGTCTGTGGTATTTTGTTATGGAAGTTCAAGTAGACTAAGTCAACCACATGTAGGACTTTTTTGGTCTAGAATGATAACAAGACAATAATGGTCCAACATCTCAGGTTGTTATGAGGATTAAGTAAAACAGTGTTTATACAATTCTTAGCACAATATATGGACATGGTAAGCATTCAGTAGATGATAGTTATTATTATTTTAATATTAAATGCTAAAATATGCCTAAGGGTATAGTCTTTTCATACTTCCCATTGATACACAATATATAGAGAATGAAATTAGGTGAAGGAGCATATATAAGAAAATGTCCCAGAGGTGAAGGACATGCATCTTCTGATTGGAAGGAGCTATTCAGCATAATGATGGGGGAGGGGGGAAGCCCTCCACTAACGCACATTACCATGAGATTTCAGAACTCTAAGTATGAAGAAAAGGATTCTAAAAACTTCCAGGTCCAAAGGGACAAAGATAGATTCTCCAAAAATTATTTGGAATCAAAAAGATATTAGCATTCTCAACATCAGCCCTTGACACTAGAAAACTCAAGGAAAATGTATTAACATTAAGGAGGCAAATGATTATAGAATAGGATTCTATACCCAGCCAAAGTATACATTAGGTACAAAGGCAGAATAAAGACATTTTCACACATGCAAGGTTTCAAAATAGATCCTTCTATGAATCTATTCTCATGAAGTTCCCACAGGATGAATTTCACCAACCAAGGATATAAAGTAAGACAGAAAACAATATGTAATTCAGCAAACATGGAATCCATCAGAAAAAGGAAGCATTGGATCAAACTCAGCTTGATATAACTATAGAGAAGGTTTAGTGAACAAAGAGTTCTGGTTTGAACAGGAGAATGGAGGGTTCTTAGAGGATGGTCTGCAAGAAAAAAATAAATGTGACCAATAAGACAGCTGATGTGTTTAATGAGGTAGAGTGGCTGTGAAAGTAGACATTTAAACAAGTGCTACCAATATTGTGTGATAAGTTTAGGTAATTATGAGAACATAAAACAAAGAAACCTAACCTGGTCTGAAGCAGAGGAGGAAGCTTTCTCTGAGGGAGAGATGTGTAAATCAACTAAATGTTGAAAGATGATAGAAGCAGCATGGGCAAGAGGGAGAGTGGTATGATAGGTGACGATATGGTCTAAGCAGAGAGAATTATTTGTGCAACAGCCAAAGGCAAGTGTTAGAATGGTTCATTGAAGGGACTGAATGGAGTCCAAAATGCTTGGAGCATAGACAAAGTGACAAAAGATAAGATGTAAAAAGATGGTGCAAATTCATGGCATCAAAGGCCTTGTAAGTCATGTTATGCAATGGTTCAAGTGAGACTATGGTAGCAGAGCCTAGAGGGATTGCATGATTCTAGACATGAAGAGAAGTAGACAGACTGAGACATGCTTAGGAGATAGAGTTAATAAGCTGGTGGTAAATTTTATGTGGGAAGGGAAGAAGAATGAGGAACGAAGGGTCTTTGGGCATGTGTGTGAATGGTGGCACAGCTAAGATAGGGAACACTAGAGAAGAGGTAGTTTTGATGAGGAGGAGTTGTTGAGATGGAGGGTCCCATGAGACAAAACTAGTGAGCAATTTTATACATGGGTCTAGAGCTCTGAAAACAGGTCTGGGTTAGAGCTCAAGATCTGAGAATCGTCACGTAGAGAACAACTGAGGCCCTACCATGAGCACAATATGTGGATGGAGCAGAGGGGAAAACATATCAATGGCTAAGGGATGGATGGAGGGAAAGAAGCTTTCAAAGGGCAAGGCAGGAGCAGTCACAGGAACAGAAGACCACATGGAAAAGAAGGTGAGGGCAATCGAAGAGCTTTAGGGAGGACTTTGTGGACAGCAGTGTGATTCACTGGGGTTTAGGTCAAAGTGATGAGGGAAAAACAGCAAAGCCCAACAACTAATTCTTATGAACCCCTCTTTCCCAGAAGTTTCCCTCCAGGAGATCTCAGCGACCATTAAAAAAATTAATCAAGAAAGTGCCTCAAGAGTGGGATTTAACAGGAATCCTGCAAGTTGTATAACATACAGATGGGCCGTTTGGAAAACTTCAGATTATGATTCCGACCGTATGATGCACTTGCTCGTTAAAATAACTCCTTTGATGTTATCCCCTTATCCTTTTCATCTGCTATTTTTCCGTCCCTTTTTAATGACAAGTCTGAGAAACTGTCTGGAAGGCTCAGAGTCTTTCCTCTGCTTGTGCCCCATGGGCTCACCCCAAGACCATGGGGAGTGTCTGTCACACCTGGGGCCTCCTGCAGCAGGAATCTGGGCCCCAGGCAGTCCTCCGCAGCCACCAGGAGTCTCATTAAAGAAGGCAGAACCAAGCCCTAAAGGGCCAAAGAAGAGAAACACATCAACCTCTGAGCTATGTATTCCTTTTCTTGACACCTGACCAGGGTCAAATTTTTTTCCTTAAACTTTGGATTCATAGCCAGATTCCACTGTGTTTAAGGAGAACACAGACCACCTTTGCCTGGATGGTTTTAAAGAGAGACTGTTTTATGTCTTCAAATGTAATATTTATCACATTTACCAAAAAAAGCAGAAAGTTTATAAAATCTTACTGGCTGTGTCCAGGGTTATATTAACAGCTATTTTGGGATATGATCTTGTGCTTTTAATAAGAACAGGGATGAAGGATATTTTGCCAGTGGAAGTATTGATCTATCTGCTCTGTCTACCTCAGACTTTGCCCAGGAGAGAACCCAGCACTTGGGAAAAAAATAGCATTTACCCTTTCTTACACATACACAGACACACAACACTGAAACTAAGTTTGAGATAAAATTATAGCAAGCAGTTGGGATGTGGTATGGCATGTTTAGAGACACTACGCAGTTAGGATCCAAAGTCTATCTTGCACAAACACATATGAGAAAGAGAAAGGCCAGGTGTGTGTGAGGGAGCAGAAATGAGTAAATTCCCCATTAGTGGACTCAGGTAAGAAACAGCACGAGATCAGATCCTGCCATGCTGTTCACCATGCCTGAAGTCATCTCCAAAGGTGCTACTGATGAGCATTACTCTGGTGCCTTTAACATTTAAAACCACCCAGCTCCTCCGTGGAAAGCATCTGCCACAACTGTGTCAGCCCCCAGAAGCGTCGGTGGCATGAGTGGGGATAGTCGGAGGCCAGACCATGCAACCTAGTTTTATCTGTTATCATGTTGGAATGGTTCTGCCTTTTTCAGATGTCCACATTTTCTATTTTCTAGATAGCTGAACATATATCCAAGTTATATTTCCACACAGCCATGTTGGATTGAAAATCTTTCTGGAATAACTTTCCCCAGGTCACAAAGTGAGTACATTATAAGGCTTGGATGTAAACCCACATCTGTTGGCTCACCCAATCTCTGCCCTATGGCAATGAGCTACCCCCACCAAAGAGCTAAAAAACAGTTTTTATAATTTACACTGCTCCTTTATCACTGTCAGGTTCAACTGTCATTTCTCTTTGGACTATGAAAGACTCCTTTTTATTTTCTTGCTTATTTCATGCTTCTCAGCTGTCATCCATAAGGATGTTGCCAGGTGCTTGAACACTGGATTGGATGGGTCTAGTCTATGGAGAGTGGGTTCTGAGTAGAGAGTGGAAGATCCAATAATCATAATCATAGTGATCTCATGTGACCAAATTCAAAATACAGCCCATAGAATTATAAAGAAGTTTGAAGATAAAGGACCCTAGGGTTTGACGGAAGAACTTTTGTTCTATATTCTTGAATTTAACTATATAATTATGTGGCATGTTTCCTTTAGCAGACTAGAAACTGAAATGAGAAAAAATATTTTGAAACACAAGTGACTTGTATTTGGAATCAGCAGTGGCTAGTTTCATTGACTAGAGGAGACGTTAATAGATGTCAGGGCTAAATGAGAGCACCTTAGAGATAGTTTTAATGCCATTGTTTTCATCCAGAGATGAGGACAGCAAGACTTAAAGAAGTGACTTTCCCACAGCTTTATGAGTTGCTATGCAATTGCCACCAATTAGCTGTGGCATATTAAACACACATCAAGCATAAACAAGAAAATTTAGCCTTCAAGGTCAATGGCCACATGTTAGTATCTGTTATGTAGCTGATGGAGTTGATGGGTGGGAAACATGCCAACACACTGTCCAAACATATGCCTGAGTTCTTGTCTCTCTTATACTCTATAAAAGGCTTCAGCGTCCACAGTGAAAGGGTTAAGTGGTACAGCAGATGTCCAAAAATAAAAATAATGGGCATCTCATGCCCACAAGCTATATACAATTCCATCCAAAGTAGAACAATGATTTATTTACTGGAAGGACAGGTATCTTCCCCAGATGTTGGAGGGAAATGCAGGCTTTCCCTTGTAGCAGTGGTGGAGGGGCTGGTTTTTTAGCTTCACAGAAAGTAGATGTGGCTTTGGTCTAGTTTTTGTTTTTTGGTCTGTATATTTTGGGGGTGTTTGCCCATAACAACCATGGTCTCTCTGATATGGTAAACTCTTGAAGAATAGCAACCATGTGTTTCACTAGCGTTGCTTGATGGTTATCACTGAGTGACTCTCAGTCAGAAAGCTGAGAACAGGGCACCGTTTCAGAGGTTCCATTTTTTAAGATTGATGGTTTTCTGGCTGATGGCTAGAGGCTGACTTAAGCAGGGAGGTGGAATGAGATGCCCAGGCACCAATATTCGCACCAATCCTCCTCCAAGAAAAGCACGTGCCCCAGGGCCACCTGAGGTTGTCCCAGTGTGGGGGCAGAAAACCATATTAAGCATTCAGCCTAATTAATGGTGGGGAATAGTGGGATCTTTTCTGAGAACGGGGATGGCTTGTTTTATGAAGAAATGTTGAGGATTCTCATTCCCTGAAGTAGAGTTCTCATTAAAAAGGGTTTTCTTTCCAGGTAAACTACATTTTCTCCATTATATCTTTAGCTCTTTAAGTGTGTTCCTGAGAAAGACCAAAAAATAGTTTTCTCTGGAGACTTTTCAGACAGTTACAGCTCCCTGGAAGCAGCTGACTCTGGTATAGTTTTCCATGGAGAAAGGAATTGAATCATATAGCCTTCAATGGTTCCATTTGGCCCAAGCAAACTTGGACTCAGTGACCTTTCAACAGATTTGGAGAGACTCTGGGCTGTGGCCCTTGCCCTGACATTCTCCAAGCCTTTGATCAGAAAGCTGCCATTTCTATGAGCCTTACATTCTCCATCTGTAGCACCAGCTAGGTCAGGAGGTGTTTTTGATAAGCCTGAGTCAGTCTGTTGTTTGCTTAGAAAAGATATCCACACCCAAGAGAAACTGTTGCTTTAAGAAAAATAATGGCAGACCATTTGATTACATATGATGGTCGCAGCCTTCTTTCAAGAGACAGACACAGCCTGGAAGAATCCCCTCTGTTTAGGATGCTGCCTTCCTTGACTGCTCCAAAATCCTTGACCTTTACTTACTCTGAATTCTGATGAAGTTTGCACCACAGATAGGCACCCAGTTACATGCCATCTATTTTGTCTCTCAAACTTAAAATCTAAGCTCTGAGAAAACAAAGGGAATTTATTTATTTGTTTGTTTAATTGCCTACAAATCTTGTGCATAAGTTGAAAGAAAAAAGAAAACAAACAGGCTCTTTTTGTTGACTCAATGTTTGTATCCTCTCCAAAATTCCTATGTTGAAGCCTTTAACTCCAAACATGATAGTGGTAGGAGGTGGGGTCTGTGGGAGGTAATTAGGTTTAAATTATGGAGGTAATTTAGGTTAATCAGGAGGATGGATCCTCGCCCTCCCCTACCCCCTGACGGGATTAGTGCTCTTATAAGGGCAGGAAGAGACATCAGAGCTCTTGCTCTCTGCACATGTACACAAAGAAGAGGTCATGTTGAGCACAAGGAGATGGCTGCCATCTGCAAGCGAGGAGAGAGCCCTCATCAAGAACTAAATCTGCTGGCACCTTGATCTTGGACTTCCCAGCCTCCAAAACTGTGAGAAATGAATTTTCTCCCAGTCTATTATTTTGTTATAGCAGCCTGAGCTGATGAAGACAACTAGTTAAGTTCAGACTAGTTTTTAAATGGGTGTGGCTCTTTGGTATACAATTCTCATCTTTTAATATCTGAGTCACATGAGCTAAGAAGTGGAGGCAGTGGTATTCCCTGCAAGCCCTCCTGCAGTGTAGGCAGTGTTATTCCCAGTATGTAGTTCAGAGCCTGGCTCTCTGACCCTTGAAGAATATTCTGTCAGCCACTTATTATGCTTAAATTCCTTTGCTTCTTGAACTAGCCAGAGTGGATCCCAACAACCACAACTAAGAACTCTGGTCAATGATATGAACAAATACAGCTGGAAAGAAATGGATTAAACAAGTTTCTTTATAGCAGGTCTTCTCAAAACCATTAATATAATGTATATAGTTAATTTCCAAGAGAGAGACAGAGTGTGTGGCAGTATCTTCACCTAACCTTATGGGGACCGCCTATCGTATCCCAGTACAGTTAATCTTGCAAGAGTTTTGCAAAGAACTCCAGGCCTGGTACAAATTGTCCATTCTGTCCTCCCAGACAGAATTGGCCCAGCCTACAAGTGCTACCCCAGTTATCTCTGTCATTCCCTGACTCTCTGATACTGGGCTGCTTGAAAATGTTCCCTGTAACAGATTCTTCTTTAACACCATAAAGCAATAGAAATGAAAGGCAGAAAGGGCTCCATTTTCTTTGACCTGAAGGTAGATTTTCACTTACTGCATCCTCTTTGCTTTAAGGTCTGGTGCCTGTGAATCAGGGTTTATTTACATCATTATCTCAATACAAAACCTAATTGAAAGTCATCCTTCTATGAAATTTGTATAAACTCATCTGGGAAGAGAGAGAGAATCCACATGGAAATCCATTCTGTGTTTCACCATCTATGCATCCTTCCTCTCCTAAGATCATATATTCCACAGTTTCTTAGAGATTTTTCTAAATGGTTAAATTATGTTTCAAACTTTCATATTCATCTATCCACCACATTGAAAGTCTCTTTACCTTATTCACTGGGAAAACAGATAGCATTAAAAATATTATGCATCTTGAAGTTAGAGGTACCTAGTTCCTAGCTCTACTACTTGCTGGTTATGTGTACTTAATATAAGCCTTGATCTTTCTGAGCCTCAACCATCCCGAATCAGACTGGCAAAGAAGGCTTGTGGGAGGAGCCCTGCCTTATGCAGAAAGTTATTGGCAAGTGGACAGAGGGATAAATAGCCAAGCTATCTGAGAAGATAAAAGGCCATGAAAACACTGCTAAAAGTCTGGCCCTGCTGAGCTAGGCCCTGGGAGCAAGGAGAGAGATGAGAAGAGTTCATTACATACGGGACTCCGATCTCAAAGATGTTGTTCTGGATCAACTGCTTCCCCAACATGATGATGCTGAGCTGGATGCAGAGCTCCATGAGGCAGCCCCCGGGAGCACACTGCAGAGAGAAAAAGACAAAGGGAGGAGCGGTTACACCAAGGGAGCTCAGAGAAGCACGGGCATGAATTCAGCCAGGATGCAATGGGGATCACGATGGAGCTGGGGGCGACAGGTGCACCTACAAACCACTAGTCAGGCAGGAAACACCAGTGGCTCTACTTGCCTCTTCCATGCGGTAACCATCAAACACATAAACATAGCTTCCAGGTCTGCCCACAAACCTGAAATAGAGAAGCATGGAACGAGTTAGGGAGGGAGAGAAAGTCAGGGCTGTTGGACTGCATGCTTTCTGAGTGGAATAGCCACTGCCCAATGTCCGTGAAAGTACTGATCAGGGCAGTTCACACCTTTTTATCCACTAACAATCACCTATAACACCTGGGGCTCCAGGNAGAGAGAGAGAGAATATAAATGTTCTGTTATGGGCCCATCCTGAGAGCCCCATATCCAGTGCCCACTGTGCCAGGCACTGTATAGACATGACATGGATTCCACATTCAATTGTTACAACTGCCTTATGAGGATTTTTTCCCCATGGCAATGATAGCAGCAGGGAGAAAACAGGTAGACGTGCCCAGTTCATGACTATGGACACTCGCAGGACACCAATGGGTCACCTTGCAAATGCACACACTGGTCTGGAAACCAAGCCCCCAGTAGGAAGAGAGTAATTCCATCCTCAGTCCATTTCCTCATGTCTTCTGAGGGTAGGACAACCCAGAGGAAATATTTTTACTTTTTCTATCATTATCTATTTTTGTACAACAAATATTTACCAAGTGGCTACTATATGCCAGGTCTTGGGCACTGGAAATGCAGTGGTGGGCCAACCAATAAGCTTCCTGCCATGTGGAGCTTAGAGTCTAGAAGAGGGAAGATGACAAATAAGACCCTTTCAGAGAGCAATGAGTATTAAATGAATGTGCAAGGGGGTGAGAAAGAGAAGAAAAAGGTGACAGGAAGACTGTCTTAGTCAGAGTGGTCAGAAAAGGCCTCTGAGGAGGTGACCTCTTGGCTGAGACCTGAAGAATAAGGAGGAACCAGCATGAAGGAGCTCAGGAAGATTCCAGCAGTTGGCAGCAGCAATAGGCCTGGGGGCAGGAAAGACCTCAGGATGTGCATGGAATCAATAGGTCTAAGTGACCAGAGCACTCTGAGCAAGGAGAAAGTATTAGACAGTGGAACTGGAAAGGCAGGGGCTGGTCAGTGGGGCTCTGCAGGTCACCAAAAGGACTTTAGATTCATTGGAAGCACAATAGGAAGCCATCTTAGGGTTTTGCGCAGGGGAGAGGTATTGTGATATTAATTTTAAAAGGATCACAGAAAATGAACTGTATACATGTGGTAGGGAATAGGGAGGGGACAGAAGTGAAAACAGAGAGACAAACTAGGAGGGTATAGCTGTCCAGGTAAGAGATGACCATATTAGAATGGAACTTGTGAAAAGTTATCAGATCTGGGATATGCCTGAAGGTGGAACAGTCAATACTTAACAGATTGTATTGTAGGGATGGGTGGNCTGTTAAAATCCTACTCATCTATTTAAGGCTCAGCTTAAACTTTTCCTTCTCTGTGAAATCTTCTTGTCTCTGTTCATCAAGTGTTCCCCCAACACTCTCTTTATTTCTCTTATTACAGCACTTATTGCAGATTACAGTGTGCTGTTGCCAAGACTTTCTCTTTCAATATACCACAAGTTTATCTAGAAGTCAGGACCCTATTTATTTTTTGCCTAGAATATCATATGTATGCCATTTGATATTGATAAGAAATCTAGATAGAAAACACCAATGAAGCATCTACTCATTAACATGGATAGTCTCTCTGCTGCTCCAATTTCATGAGAGGCAAGGGCGGAAGTCCTGGGAAGGGGTTGTGGTTTGGGCCACAAAAACATTTATAAAAAAATTATCAAATGTGGATAATGACAGTTCTTGCTATCAATGTCTGCTTGATGAGCTTTCCTGACATAGTTGATGCCTACTGGGAAATCTCCTTGTAGGTAGACAATTGATCTGACCACAAAAAATATTTTCCAGAAGTGATTTTACATCTATAATATAATGAACAAATTGCTCTTAGTTGCTGGTTCCTGTAAGAAACCTCTAAATTCTTGGAATTTACCTTTGGAAATTTCAAAAGAATTTCCCTTTGGAAATAACAAAGGAGTGTCTTTGTTATTCTTGGTGGGCCCTTGGGACTATACCTAAATTTATGCTAAAGAGATCACTCAGGATGAATGAGACCATGCCAGAAAGACCAACCATGTGATCCATGTGATTAAAGGGTTGGGGCTTTGGGCCACATAATAGCAGCCTGACCTCAAGGGATGGGAGGGGTTCTTAAGATTGAGTTCAGTCACATGGCCAGTGATTTGATAAATCATGCCTACATAATGGAACTCCAATAAAAACTCTGAACACTGAAGCTTGGGTGAACTTCCTGGTTAGTGGTACACATCAATATGCCAGGAAACTTCCTGAGGACATGGAAGTTTCTCTTTAGGACACTCCTAGACCTCATCCTATGTGCCTCTCCCATTTGCTGGTTGGGATTTGTATCCCTTTGCTATAATAAAACTATAATTTTAAGTATAGCACATTCCTGAATTCTGTACTTCGTTCTAGTGAATTATTAAACCTGAGGAGTCAATGGTTGTAGGAGTTATTGCCTAAATCTTGAGTATCTTGGGAACCCCATAGCTTGCAACTAGTGTCTGAAGTAAGGGCAGTGTTGTGGAAGACTGTGTCCTTCATCTGTGAAGTCTGCACTAACTCAGGGTAGTTAGCATCAGAATTGCATTGCAAAACCTAAGAGCCACTGGCAAGACATGAAATTCCCTCCTGCCTCATCCTCAAAGTTTGGAGACCCAAATTCTTCTAAGACTCACCCTTCAGGGCCCAGAGCCAAATCCCTGTAGAGTTTCTCTATTTATCAGAATCTGAAGATGCTAAAACAAAATGATTTAGTGTTAAAGCCACTGCTTCATGAACAGAAAGATAGAGGTGGACATTGGGGATGGGGCTGAGGATGTGAATTGACAATAGGGACAGGCTGACTCTTCTGGAGGACCCATACTTAGGGACCAATTTCCCTTCCATGTATGACACCAATACACTCACCTCCCCTTGAAAAAGGCCACATAGAAGATGGGCGAGTAGGCATTGACAAACTTCAGCAAGAATGCTTTGAGTATCAGGCGTTCTTCAAATGTCTGTTCTGTTTTTGGAACCTCTGAAAAAGAAGAGCAAAGCTGATAAGACTGAAAGACAGGTTGCTCAACTCTCCAGAGTTCTGACCCTGTGACATGAACCATTGTCTCTCAGCTTACTCCTTCAAAGTAGAATCCAAGAGATCCAGCTCTCTGGCACATTGGAATTGAATTCATCTGGGCGGTCCCAAATGGTTTGCCAGGTAATATGAGGCTACGGAAGGCCCAGGGTATATCAGATCATCACCTTTCTCCTTACACTCCCCCACCTTATACACTCAAGTAATGGTTTCACACTGTGCTCTTCAAAGAGGGGTCTGAGCAAACAGAACTTCCTTCCACCACCCTTGCTTCATCAAGGGAATTCAGCTTTTCCCTGTATAATTGCCACTTCTATAAGATTTTACGTGAACAAAAGTCCCTGATGAAAAAGGCTTGTTAATCACTGAACTGGAGTCAAGAGGCAGCAAAGACTCATCTTGGGCACCATGGCATTCTCCCGTGTTCTCTCTCTCCATTTTTAGCAGGAAAGCCATCACCTGTATGTTCTCTGGGTAGGCTGAATCATTTTGCATTCACTCGCTCAGATGGTGCAAACAGAGGAGTCCGTTGATGTTCTCCAAAGGACCCTGAGAAACACGGAGTGGAAATCTCATTGGTGCCTTGAGAAATCTCGAGGTCCATGGGACGCTCCAGTGGGCAGCAGTGCAGAGTACTTAATGGGGTCTTCACAGACCATGACAAATAGTTTGGCAAAGAAAGGACGTTACAGGGCCATACTGCAGGGCCAAAAGGAAAGCACTAAGCCTGTGTCATATGCACTAATGAGTACAGCCTGAAAGTGTGCTGAGCATAGGGCCAATGTGCCAGGGCCATGCCAGCCAGGAGCTCTGTGTCCAGATGAGACCAGTGTGTGGACTGCCTGTCATATCTGCCCACCTGAGTCACAGGTAGCTTTGGTAGAGATCATTAGAAAAGTGGACACAAGACCCTGTTCTAGCCCCCAGAATGCCCTTCCCTGATCCATCCCCTCCGGTACAAATCCTTCACATTATTTAGCATCCAAATCAAATGTTACACATAATCTCCTTCTCAAAGCCTTCCCAGATGCCTTCAGCTGGTAGTAAGCTTCCTCTGTTTTCTTCTATAGTATTTCATATTTCTATATTAATTACTTATATCCATACCCTTTGAAAATCACAGTAATCGTAGCTTTCATTGACTGTATCTTATTTCATTGATTGTCTGGGTTACCCCTGAAAGTCAAGGATTTGGAAGTAAGTAGTTTATTTGGGAGGTGATCCCAGGAAGCTTGATGAGGAAGACGGGTGATGAGTCAGAGAAGGTAGGCAATACAACATGGATGGGTTCATGAAAAGGCTAATGCCACAGGCAACTGGGACTCAATCCCAGTTGAGTTGGGGACCTTCTAAGAGGCTGTGTGAAGCATTACACTGAGGGGTGAGCAAGCAGGGGTCCATCATTGGTTGGGCTTGACTCTCTGGCACTTCAGTTTGCTCTGTGCATGGGTTGAGCATGCGCACAACCAAAGAATGCCCACAGGCAGCTGCAGTGACCTCTGGGGTAGCCAAGGGGATGTGCATGTTACACAAGAGTGTCTGCCCCAAGCTACCTTACAGTGCATCACACCATGGGTGCACACATTTGCTATTTCATTTCATTCTCTCCTACAATGTGAGGGAGTTAGTACGTCTCACTTTTTTGGATGAAGGGACTGGCGCCTAAAAAGGTTAGAGCCTTGCTCAAGATCACACAGCCAGTAAGTGACAGAGTTAAGATTTTTTTAAAAATTTTATTGGGGAATTGGGAGAGGGGAACAGTATTGGGGAACTGGGAAGGGGAACAGCCAAGGTGTTGTCCTTTTGTTCTTCAGTCTAGTTGTGGAGGACATCGCTTCACTGGTCCATCTTGGTATTATGATCATTGCACTCTTCCCAGCTGAGACAGACAGGTCGCCGGCCATTGGACAGCCGCTCACGACATCTCACAGCATCCCACTGCAGCCTACGCTGTTGCCGGCCACTCACAGCAGCCCAGCTCCAGGTTGAGCTGTTGATCACAATCTTAGCTGTAGAGGGCGCAGCTTACTGGCTCATGTAGGAATCAAACCAGCAGCCCCACTGTTCAGAGCTCACACTCTTACCAACTGAGCCACTCGGCTGGCCCGACAGAGTTAAGATTTAAACCCTCATCTGCCTTACCTTGAAAGAAAGTTTTTACTATACCACATTTTGAAATCAGGATCTTTGATTGATTTATGTTTGCATCACATTCTCATAGTCTCTTTCACCTCCCCACCCTCCACCCCAAAGCCTAACGTCATGCAAATATTTGTCACTGTTCAGTGCATATTTATTGAGCACCAGCTGTGTACCAGGCACCATGCCAGGATGAATGAAGACTTCACCACTTCTTTTAAGGAGCTGCATTTAGCAAGGTCCCTGTGAAAGCCTTTTGCAAACTGCCAAGTCTCCTCCAGATTTATTCTGTGAGCGAAAAGGTATCAGTTCCCCTGCAATCATGGCAGAGGGGGATCCTAGAGAGAACAAAGCTGCATTTCCACGATATGTGTCCCCACACAGAGCACCGTGAGCCCCTCATTTACTGGCAGCCCTAGAGTCTTGCATATTAAGAAATGATGCCCAACAGCATCAGCAATGGCTCAAGCATGAGCAGAGTATTGCTAAGGAGACTGCCACAGGCAGACCTGAGCCCCTGGAGGCCCATGGCCCGGGAGGGGACTTACAAATTGAAAAGTTTAGAGACCACCCAATAGCACTATATCACAAGTGTGATTCTGCCTTAATATCTTCCTAAGGCTGAAAGGGCCTGCGGAAATGAGTTACTCACTTGTCCTAGTCCCCGTAAGCCCTGAGAAACATGGCTTCACTCCTGTCAACCAGGCAATACTGAAAAGTGGTTCACTCTCCAAGCTCCCTTTCACCCTGATGCCCACTTCAGTTCACTTATGTTGGCAAACAGTCCTAGAGGCCCTGGCAGCCATGCTGAGCCCACAGAGCACCATGTCACCCTATTTGTGGCTAAGCTGTGTGTTGAGGGGAGAGAGTATTTACTTGTTTTGTCTTGCTTGCAGAGATGGCTGTAGGTGCAGATTTTAGCATTAGACATATTTGAGTTCAAATGCAGAATATAACTAGAGGAGTGAAGTTATATAAAAGAGAAAATGACACCTGCCTCACAGGGCTGCCCTGAAGACATGTTGGGAATGCTTATAAAGCACTCAGCATGATGCTTGGCATGTGGTGGCCCTCAATAAATGATAGCTCCTGTTGTCGTCATCATCATCATCACCCAGGTCCAGCAGCCCTGTTTTCAATAGTACAGTTGGGCCATTCACGGCCAGATGTTGGGTATCATTTCCATGTTGACTTCTGATCACCTTCTACCAGTCAATGGTGAGCTTAGCTGGTAGGTGACCCTGCTGGCACACAGCTGGGAAAGTTGAATCAACACAACCTCTGTCCCCACCCTTGCAGAACCACCCCCCAAGCTTCCTGAGGTCCTCCAGGCAAGTCTGGAAATAGCATGGCCTGCCAGGGAATCTGGAGACATTGTCGTAATTCTATAGGTGAGGAATTTGGACAAGTCTACCCTGACAGCCCTCAGCTGGTAGAGAGCTTTGTGGTTCACTCCTTCCTGCCACGCCTGGATGGACACCTGTACAGCCCTGCGAGATAGAAGTCCTGGCCAACCCACCACTGCCTCACCCAATAAGCCTTTGGACAAGGATTTGTCCTCACCATTGACAGTTAACACTGCTACTTCTGTTAGCTCTTTAGTTTATGTATGTTATCGAAGCCCTTCAGGCCTTTAACTTTCAGGCCTTTGCCATCCCTGCCACACATCCTTCTCGCAAAAGAGTTCTGTGCTTCCTTGTTAATTGATGCTTATCAGGTCCTCCCTGGGCTCAAGACCCATATCCACATCTTCACCCTGATTCTCATTCTCCCTGACTAAAGGAAACAATGCTGAGGCCCAGGGGGAAATGCCTGCCATCACTTTCTAAGGTCATTTTTAGTTTTAAGATCTCATAACTCTGAACTCCCATGCGGCTGTTAACCCTATCACTTTCCCCAGCCTGCCCTGTCCCACCCCCGCCATGGGCAGTTTAGATGGCTTTTTTACACTGAGCACGGTCAGTGTAATACAGCTGTCGCCAGATGTACTCTATCAACTATGCACATTTATTGAATGAATGAATGACAGGGGAAAAAAACATCATTTGGAACAGTGGAAAATTTCTGTCATTTATTAAAAATTCCCTGTCACATTCCAAGGCAGGCAAATCCTTAGGAGGGACCTTTGTCTGCTGAGCAGGATAATGCGTATGAGACGGGAGCAGGGCAGCCGAAAGCGAGTTCCATTTCCACACACGAGAGTCCAGATGGGACTGTTGGAGTTAGACGCAGGGCCCAGAAAAGCCTAGAGCAACTATGATGGAAGAGGGAAGGGCAGAGAGGGAGATGAGGGGGCTGCCACCAAAGAAGAAATGTGGCAGGCTGGGGGCGGGCTGCAGTTGTGGAGGTGCCCAGTGGAAATTTTCATTAGCTTCTGCTGTGTGATTTGTAGTATGACCCCTTCATCTGCCTCCCCGTAGAATCTTCAGTAAAGACTCATTAAAACCTGCTTTCCTGACAAGTACTTGAGGAATTCTGGATTTGTTCTTGGGGGAGGGAGTGTGCCCAAGGACTGAGTCCTACTTCAAGATGGGCACTGGGGCGTGAACAGAGATGGCCCCATGGCACCTGCTGTATCTGGGTTACAAAGAAGAGGTTGGGAAGAGAAAGACAGAGACAGAGGATGGAGACAGAGAGAAAGGAGGAGGAGGAGAAGGCGAAGAGGAGGAGAAGGGGGAGGATGGGGAGGAGGGGAGGAAGGAAGGAAGGAAGGGGAGAGGGAGGAAGGGTGGGAGAGGGAAAGAAGGGAGAGAGGGAAGGAGGGAGGGAGGGAGG